GTCTGTGTGGTGTCCGAATGTCCTAATATAGTGTCAGGGACACTATACTGTATAAACAGCACTGTCTTTCTGATGAGACGTTAAACCGAGGTCCTGACTCTCCCTGCTCATTAAAAAATCCTGGTGTCCTGGTGAAATTCCCCCATCGGCCCTTATCCATCACGGCTAAATAATAAACCCCATACCTGAATTGGCTACATCACTCTCCTCTCCTCTCCGGTGGGCGTTCTGGCGCACTATGGCTGCCGTCGCATCCTCCAGGTGTCTGCTCCACACTAGTGGTGGTTTGAGGAGATTTTCCCCCCATACAATGTAAAGCGCTTTCTAAAAGAAAAGTGCTATTTAAATCTAAGGAATAATAATAATTATTATTATTATTTCTAAGAAAATAAGCATCTATTCTTGTTGCAAAGGCATTTAAATGGAATTTGTGTAGATGAAAAGAAATAAACTATAAAGAGAGTCTGTAAAGAGAGTCTATAAACGAGAGTCTGAGTTTTATAATGGATGGTGTTATTCAAAGGATCTCTTTTGCTATGAATAAATAAGTAGTTAATAATTATAATGCAATACCACTTAGCCATTCTAATAATGCACAGTATATGCCCTTGTACAACACTTTGTACTCCCATGCAACTGCTCATTTAAAAATCACTCTCAGAGGCCTTTCAAAACACAACCTTGTCCATTTACTATTTTCCTTATTACCCAATTTACTAAATCATGCTTATGTTTATCCAGTGATGCAAGTAGGATAACTTTCTTAGAATCTCAGCTCAGGGGAAACTGGTGCATGTTAACTACGGTACACTGAACCCCAATTCTCCCCCGGTCTCATGTGTCGGCGAACAGCATCAGACATTTACGTTGAGTTTACAAGAAGGCAGACAATATCTCAGTCGATCTCCCGTGTCTCTTCCGCTAACGGGACTGCTGCCAGCTCATTCTCATCATCAATATCAAAGTCTCCTGATTAAGCGGCACCACATACTCGCTCACTCCCAGCTTCTGGCCGCAGATCACAATTCATCTCCTCAGAAAGAGGAACATAACGGGAGTTTGTCCCCAAATCAAATCCAAACAACCATCAGCTGAAAAAAAAAATTATATATATATATATATATATATTTATTTAATTTATTTTTTTATTTTTTTGCTATGAAGCGCCGATAACACCAGAGCCATCCTTTGGGGTTTTACAAATGACTCTTCAGATCACTGGCGGTCGTGGCATATGTCTGCAGCCCGCTTAATGAGTCCCTCTGATAACAGTACAGGCTCAATAAGTAATGAAACTCCAACTAGGCTCTCTTATTAACTGATCCCCGTGCTGTCGGACACTAAACAGGGTAACGTTTTGGCGCTGTAGCTGTTGGCACCCACTTATTAAACTCCGGTTCAAAACAACATTTGATTGACTCCATGAGGGTGACACAGATCCTTGCTGATGTGGGGAAATGAGCGAGGCCGTTAATGAACAGGAGCAGAAGTGAAAATAAGTTTTCAGGGTCATTAAGGTTAGGAGATGGTAAAGATAGATATGCACAATACTTATGGAACCTATAATGATGTGAAAAACAAGCCTCAGACACATTTCTGTTGAATGGAATCTATTATTCACATTGTTACAGGATTCAGTACTGGAGCTGATGTCTGATGTGACCCACAAGCATTAAAAGTGCTGGATATACAGGCATGCCTGAAAAGCCTTTTTGGAAATAATGGTATATTATTATAATTTTTTTTTACCACTTTGGCGTAATATTGGACTCTCACTTTGTGCACCAAGTCAAGTTGTGGTGGTGTCTAGTTGTGGGGGTGGGCTGGGGATAAAAAAAAAAAAAAAAAAAAAAAAACACCTTATCAAAAAGAGAGGGATCGGCCTGGAATTCAAATCACATAGCAATTATTCACACAGAAAAATCAGGGGTGCTACTGAATCGATTGACCGAGAGATGTTCTATGCAGCTCCGAAGCACCTCTTTATCCTGCTTAATTATACAACATCAAGAAGCAGAAGAGACATTCTTTTTCAACAGTTTTTACATATTTCTATTAGAAGAGAGGACATACACATCTATCCATCTTCTACCGCTTACTCCTTTTCAGGGTCATGGGGAACCTGGAGCATATCCCAGGG